TAACTAGTCTTTTTAAAAAAGAATTTTGAATTTTATTTAAAATACATTTTACCCATATCTATATAATAAGTAAGTTTGTTTTCGTTGTCTAGCGACATTTTAATACGAAACTCTTTAGTTATTCTATCTTTCGGAAGGTTTTTTTACCTGTTGCATCGCTGTGTGCTGTCTCTTCATGTAAGGTCTAGTGTACGTGACTATTTTCTCTTTGGGGTAGTTAGTGTGATCAGTCCAAGACTTGGAGCGATGTGATCCGCCACCGGGTGGCATTCGTAGGGCTTGAGGTGTGTCAGCGGCCGCTGGTACCGGCCAAGACGGATACTTTTCGTGTCCAGGACCGTACTTGACTGATTTAAGGGTCGAGGAGTCTCGTACAGGTGGAGCGGGTGGTGGTGAATCATCGTCACGAGTCGGAGCCGTGGTTGACACCGAGTCGAAGTTTAAACCTTAAAAACAAATGCAGAAAATTACAATCGCACTCCATTAATATCACTTATAAAATCCAATAATCAATTTAAAAATGATTCTTGCATCCTACATTATGGTTGTGTACAAAATTTTTGTTAGGACTTAAGCTTTTGTTTTAAATGAATTTAAAGTTCGGCAAAGTTTGCGTTCTTTCATCCGTATTGAAACGATTCTCCCATTTTGTCCTATATAAGTCGAAAGATATTCGTACTAATATCACAAGAACGATGAATCTTAAGACAAGGTGGGTCTATCCGAAGTATGACTTATAAAAAGCAATTTCATATAATAATTTTTTCTTTATGTATTTGTTACAATTTATGTGCATCGGACGCCTATCAGTTTATAATCTCTGAATGTTATTCCTCGAAAGCTTTCTTTACGACTAGATCAACCAACTTTCCATTGCACCTTAATTCTATTATTATTGTAAGACCTTTTCATCATCAGTGTCTGTTGTTTGGCTGTATCATCAAACGTACAAGTCTTTTGGAGTAAGAAAATAAATCTCTTCTGAAGTGTAATAGAATACGTGAACTAGATGCTATCAAAAGGATTAGGCTGGCACCGTGGTATCTCATCTACATGTGGTATCAACCTAATTGTTATTTGTTGGGGTTTAAAACGTCCACATGTAGCTACACTTACTGACGAACAAGCGCTATTATAGGTAAATCCCGGTTGTGTATCTAAGTACCCATGTAGGTGTACATTTAGATTGTAAGTCGAAATCAAATAAATCTTTTCAAGCTGCTATTTCCTGACTACTTCAGATTTATTCGTTTTACAGACCGCTCCTCCCCATTAGGAACACTACAGTCATTTACGAGATCGTTTGTTTGACAATGAAAAAGCAGAATAAGGAAACAATCGCACCAAATTAAAGACAAAAGGTGTGATTCAATTTTACCTTCGGTTGGTATTTTCCGTGTGAGAAAATAAATACTGAAGATTATCCTGATCCTATAACTTGCGAAACGCCATTTATAAATGATACCAGCAATTCAGCTTTCGTCACCTAAGTAGTAATACTAATTAATCTTCTTGCAATGACTCGAATAAAACCGTATGAAGTAAATGTGTGGTACAGAAGATTACCAGAAGAAAACCTTGTTGTTACCGCATGTATTTCTCACAGACCTGCATGTAATTTTTTAAAAGTCGAAGGCCTTCTTGTTTACAATAATTATGAATGACAGACTTTGATATGTTTCATTCTAAATTATAAAAGTTATGCTAGAATTAAGTAAGTAAACTATTTGAAATTGTTTGGCAAATACGCAGAAAATTTTCAGGGTAATAGATAAAAATCTTTCCCCGATGTTAAGTCGAAAACCAAAAAATTAATAACAATTGAAAGAATCTTTGAATCTGAGCAAAACAACACAATAACCACAGAAGATAGATTTCGAATTTCGTGCTCTTAGTTGGCATGCAAAGATGTGCTTGTTACTGCCTAAAATATAAAAATTTACCGCTTTTACTATGAGAAATTATATAAATTCCGTTCAGGTCCTCTCAAACCTTAAAGCAATATTAAAAACACCGGACAAGCTGTTAGGTTAAATATTGTATTCAATTTTAATTCATGACCGCTTTCAATCACAAATAATAAATTGAATATAAAACTTGTAATTAGGACATATGTCAAAGAAAAATACAATTATATAGTTTTCACGGAATATAATTAGGGAAGCTCTAACGACTGTTTCAAGTTTAATCGTTTTAGAAGTGTATAAACAACAAGAATCAAACAAAAATGAGCAAAAATTGTGTTAAATGCTATTAACAGGTAGTATATTGGTACAGATTTGTTTGAAATTATTATAATGCTTTTTTATAACCAGCTTTCCGCAATAACCATTGATTTTATTAAAATACATTTAGCTAAATTATCTTATCTATGTGCAGTCATGGATTTGCCCATTGTCTCATTAATTATTGTGCACAAACTTGTATAAAAACCCAACTTTGGTCAACAATGCCAGATGATATTTTATTCTTTGTGTAAAAATTATTGCATCTTCAATTTTCAAAAGTTTGCAGCTCTTATCTGTTCTCAAACTAACTGATTAGCATAATGGGCTTGTACTCGTTATGTGGCATACAACAAAAGTAAGCAACCAACGCTGACACACGGGTTGGTACACCGTTGCCCATACCCATACAGCACCTATCCATGGATAGATAATACGTGTAGGTACGTACATGTTCAGTACGTATGGTACATACCCGATTGGTTCTGGAGATAAGTGTAGATAGATGGTGAGTGACCTTTGGTTTCTCGATCTGCTTGGAGGTTGGGAATTGACCGTGAAGGCATCATTGTACCATCGGACGAGGAAGAGCTATTGGCCGGTAATCGCGCCACCTTTCTGGGTGGGTTGGCTCCATTAGTTGTCCTTCTCAAACTAAAATAAGAAACACACATTAGAGGAAAACGGTCAAAGAAAATTTGACGAAAATATTTCACGCAGGACCGGTCCCAGCAAGTTTCTGAGACTGAGCTGCCTACATTGGCCGATCTAGGATTTGCAAAGGGGGGAAGGGTGATGGCTGCAGTAAAAATTTTGGAATGTTGCCTTTCATTTCATATGTACATCTACTTTATATATACGAGGGGCATTCAAATATAAACAAGCCTTTCAATTTTGGGACTTAGAAAGACTGTCGGAGATAGCGGAGCGTCGGGAAGTATAGGGGGGATCCCCCATTTCCGTCCGATTTTGACCATATAATCCTAAATTAAATAAGAAATAAGCAATTCCCTTTTTCTTTCTGGGAAAGTCGATTAATACAAAATGTTTGTCTACTCTGTCACTTTTCGCGTGCTCGGTTTTAGGTCTTTATCGAATGCTTCTCCAATGGCTGCATTTTAGAAAGCGACCCCAGGTCGGTGGTGATTGCAGATATATTTTTTTATTGGGCACCATAATGCAGATGTTCTATTTTTTCTACACTCATGTTAGAACTGTTTCCGTTATACATATTACGTTATTTGCCTTCTACTTAAAAGTTATACATGTAATGTTTACAGGTTTGCAAGGACATAAAGGAAATAAAAGTAAACTAAAAGAACATGAATCTTATCAATTTTTAGTCGCAACTTTCTTATAATGGAAAATTTTGTTCCAAATTTGATACTCCCTTCCGGGAAAAACCATCCAGGAATCCAAGAACGCTGTTTTGTTACGATAAAAAAAATGCGCCTGCTTGAATAGCAGGACTTATTATTATGGAATTTATTTTGGCGGATGACGACAGGGTTAAATTGAAACAAGGTGTTTAAGTTTTATTTTTGTTTTGTCACCCGATGCGGTCACTCCCCTGATGATTTTATGGAAACAAAACGAGTCATAAATTAAATCATTTTTAACCAGTCCCTGTTAAAAGGACGCAATAACAATAACGACAACATTTTTAAATCCACTAATGCGTTTTCAAAAGGGCTACTATTATCTTGAAAGGCTATTAATTCGAACTGCTTTTATCCGGTTCATTTCCTGATATAATACATCACCTGGACGGCTTGGTTTGCATCTGCCGATCGTCGTCGTCAGTAATGGACTTTACTTGTAAAATCATCCCGATACTGTTACACAAACCTACATTTTTAACAATGACCGCCTGCCTGACTCTCTTGCCCGTTTTGTAACCTGTTATGGTAGATGACAGATCGACAAGAAGGCAAGCAACCATTTCATTCATTTTACTCGCAAGGTCTGCTCGCTCCCGCCCACTCCCCTTTTAACCATTTAACCAAAACCAGATGAACACGACCGCAAGAAGCAGCAGCAGCATCCACAACCCATCACCATCGCCGGTCTCCTCTTCTTATTCTTCTTTGTTTCGTATGGTTCGCCGATATTGGGGTTAATACACTTTGCCGCGCCAAAAGCCAAAAGTATCTTGCAATTTATTTCTTTATGTATTTACATGAACATTTTCACCTAATTCTCACGGAAGCTGTTGTTGTTGTTGTTAATAATGTACCATTCCGTTGTTGCTATACCATCCACTCGATTCTCTTTATATGAACCAGTTACGTCTCATACGAATGAAAAAAAACTAATTAGAACTCCGTATGTTCTCGAAACATCGGGGCATCACTAATTTCCTACTTATATTTGAACTGTACCATACCCATTGAACACATTAGGTAGTACCAAAAGAAAGAAAGTAAGAACCTATACCGTTGGTACCAGCAGCATCAGATTCAATATTCTCATAGTTTCATTGTGTTGTGCTTATTTGGTATTTGGGTTCCACAAACTAAAAAGGAATATCTATTTTTTTAGTTTTCATTTTCCATGGTAGTAAAGTTTTACCCGTTGCGACCAATCAATCTTCAAATGCTTATCGGCCTATTGACTAACGACCTTCTAAAGGTTCAGTTTTTATCTTGTTCGTAAATCTTTCAAGATATCGAACAAGTTACGTCCTGGATGAGATAAGATTTGTAAAGAGAACGGGAAGAATAGAAGATTGGTCACGGTTTATCATTTCCGTGTTGATCCTTTCGAGCAGGACGGGGGGGACAGGGTTCGGGACCCGAGAGGCAAATGTTACATTATTGCCGTCAGTCAGCAATAATTGTAGAAGTTTCGCTGTCGTTCCTCGACTTGTTGGAGCCTTGTCGTTGCTATATCATATATCACGGAGCTACGTATACGAATTGTATGCCGTTTGTGTGTGGACGAAGAGACTTGCAGGCTTTCCACTTACTTGGTAATGCAAAATGATAAATACAGAAGAAAACAACAATCACTCTAGGCCACTCAATGTATAATCAAGGGCTCACTTTATTTCTGGAGTAGCAACAAAGTTGGTAACCAGTTTTAATCATTTATTTTTCATTTTGGTTTACTTCCTGATTCGACCAATACTGAAAAATATCGTAATTTTTCAAGAAGGTATACATATATTTCTTTTGGTTCATTCTTAAATTCCAAATGTTGACTCCATGGTGTCATCCTAACTCATGGGTGATCAGAATTCATTCTTCCTCGTATCATTTCAGGCTTTATCATCATTTGATTCATTCGAATTCAGCAGATTTATTAGTGTTTGTTAGGCACTTATTCAAATCGTGTGAACTGGGACTTATGTATAAACTTGATGAGATTCTATTTACTACTTTATTACTTGTTCATGTAAGAAATTGATGGAAGTTCAAGTAGAACCCCAAGGCTACAGTCGTAGTAACGTAACTCGAAATAGCAAAATAGTCAGTATCGCATCATTCACACGTAAGCAAGAAAGAGCAAGTACCTGTACCGAATGACAGAATCAAAAGATAACGGGCTTCATCATAACAATTATCTCCTTGCAACCAGCAAACGGTAGATGATAATCTTTTGATGACATCGATTACTATTTTACTACCGGCAAATACTTATTATTGTTACTGGCGATAAATATTTTAAGCATCATTTATCTGTACAACTTACAATTGATACTGTTTTAGTTTCAGGTAACCTTAAACATGTTTATAAAATGTACCCAATGGGACGTAATACGTGGCTAATGATTCAGAACCAATGCGTTATGGTTAACAATGCGGAAGACCACTATTTACCTGTCGGCTACTTCTTTCTTTACCAGAAGAAACATGTATAATGTGACTTACTATTATTTTAAGTGGTTTACATCGTCATTCGATTACCGATGACATTTTGGTAATCATTTGAATGGTTTTCTATCTATTAAGTTTTGTGCTTTATGTTTTGGAATGAAAAACTAATGAAGTACAAGGTTTTTATTGAGAATACTTAAATAGTTCCATCATCATAAGGTCGTCAGTCCTAAGACTGGTTGGACACGTACCTCCACTCTTTCCTATCCTGAGCTAAACTTCGCATTTCCGTAAAACTAGAACAGCCCACATCCTTAACTATTTGCGAACAGTAATCTAATCTAGGTCTACCTCTACCCCTCCTAACTCCTGTTTCTGCCTCTAATATGTCTCTGACTAGACCTTCATACCTGAGAAGGTGTCCTACCAACCTATCTCGCCTATTTCTTATTGACTTCCATAGAGTCTTCTGTTCTCCTATTCTTTCTAATACCTCTTCATTTCTAACCTTCTCTATCCACGATATCCTTATTAACTTCCCATTAGGAAGTTATTGTAATTGGGTCGAAAAGTGAAATCGGAATTTTCATTATATTTCCACGTTTTAACATATTAGTAGCATGCTAGCCAATTTTTTTGATGATGTGTGTATGTACGTACGTACGTATGTCAGCATTTTTTTCGTTTTCGATATCTCAAGAACGGATTGAGATATCGCCCTCAACCAAAATTTTTTCGAAAGATATTATCATAATGAAGATCTGAAAGAAATTTGAACGAAATCGGTCAAGCCGTTTTTTTTTTATAAAAAAAAAAACGAATTAATTACAAACAATTTAATTAAAATACGTTCTAATCTAATCACAACAATGAAGTTACGGAATCAATAATAACGAAATATCATTATTCAAGACAGGGAATAACATATTATAATAACATATTATAATAAAAATTTGTTTATAACAAAATGAATTGTTATAAACAATCGATAAACAATAAAAAATAGTATTTACCAATTGACTGATGCAAGTACTCTATCAATTCGGTTTTCTCAGACGAAATACTGTTTCTTATGGGTTTATAAAATGACGAACTCTCAAACATTGTTTGTTATTTATTATTGTGCCGCGTTTTTTTCAAACTTTAGAAACGAATGTACTTTACAATAACTGTATTATCTAATGGGAAGTTAGTCGTATTAGCACCGACCAAAGTGTGCTCAGACCAATTTTAGTTTGTATTTTTATTCCCTTGTAACACTACATATGGAACGCTTCTAACGTTTTCTTTTCCGCCGCGCCCACTGTCTATGTTTCGCACCCGTACATCGCCGTGCTTCAATCATACACCTTTAACATCCTCTTCTAAATTCACCATTGCGAGCATAGAAGTGACTTCTTTTTCTTGAAGGCGACTCAACCCTGCGCTAATCTCCTGTTTTAGTTCCACCAGATTATAATTTCAAATGTTTTCATATGTTTTCATACCTATCATTAGTTAGTGTTCCTTTTGGTTTGTACGAACACATTTAATCATAATTAGAATCTTTGCCGTGACAAAAACTATTTCGTTATCAAAATCAATATGCACTTAACATTCTCATTTAATATAAGCATGAACATTTGAACTTGTGCAGTTCATAACACGTTTTAACAATGCATTATTATTTCGTAATATGGAGCCGTGTTCACCAGGAGGACGTCGCCCTTTTGCGATTGAGGCAAACATGTGCATAAAGGATTTATTTTGTACTTCATAATGGCATAATATCAACGACTAATATGCTATACAAACACGTAGGTACATGCCGGACCAACTTCTAGAATATATGAATAC